TGCTGAGCCTGCTCAGGCAATGTTTGCCACATTTCCCAGGAGAGCACATTGCACAGAAAATGCTCCCTGAGGGCTCCTGTGCATGGCACTGGATCTCCAGAGGTGGAAAGGTGCTCTGTGGACCTTCTTGGAAGGGATTTTCCAAGGGATCTCAGTGTTCCCTGCTGGATCAGGTTCTGGAGGTGGGAACGCAGCAGCTCTGCCTGTCCCAGCTCCATCCTGTCCCAAATCCTCATGGAAACACCTGAACAGCTCTGCTTGTGGGATCCAGCACCATCAAACCTGGCCAGAGCCCGTCCTGGAGGTTTTTCYATCTGGGATTTTTCCATCTGGGTTGTGGGGAAGCACAGCAGCTGCTGGGACACCTTGGGGACACCCTGGGGACACCATGGGGACACCACTCTCCATCCCCACAGCCCTGCAGCCCACCCAGGGTGGGGAGGAAGCTCCGTGCCCTCCACATGACATTCCCAGGAAAAATTAAGTCCTTTGAAACCCTCTGACCCACCCAAGTACCAGAAAAAGGAGGAAAACCTCAAARTGCTGCTTTCTCCCACTGAAATATTCCATGGATTGGGTGATTCCTGGTCCTTAGGTGAGCAGAGCCATGTGTGCAGCGTGAAAATGACTTTGCTCATGGCCCACATTGCTGCTAAGCTGCTGGAATGATCCTGCAGGATGCTGAGTGCTTGTGACTTCTGCTGAGGTGCTGGGTTGTGACCCTCGGTGTCAGAGCTGTCACCAAAGCGGGGTGGGCTCTGATTTCTGTGCTTGCACAGCCCCGGGGTGTGGGTGGCACTGAGGTTTTTGGTTTTGGGGGAGCAGAGGGGCAGCTCAGGGGGAGCTCCTGCTTGRGGTCATTCCCACTGCGCCTCTCTGCAGCTGATTTGGGGCTGGGAGGGGCAGGAGGCAGCAGATCCCACCTGGGAGCAGCGGGACAGGACAGGGGAGTTGATGGGGTCTGCCTGAGGRTGTCACACCTTGGTGACCCCAGGGCCCCCTCCCAAGGCCATTTCAGTGTTCTGAAATGAAAMTTCTGTGTCTGACCCTGCTTTGGGCCACCCAGGAGGCTGCCAGAGGGGTTCCTGGRGCTGCCTAAAACGAGGGACAGGACCACCAGTCCTCCCTGCGTGCGGCCCGTGGGCAGCACAGGGGCACTGCCAGGGCAGAGGAACAATGGCAGCTTTGTGGGAGCGAGCCCACCATCACTGCTCGTTCCCAGCATCAAAGGACAGCCCCAAACAGCACAGAGGGGACCCYGGGGCCTGGGGGGCTCCCTTCCCTCATCCCCTTCAGGCCATGGTTCATTAAACCCTCACAAAGCCAGGCAGCACAAAGCAATTCCCTGCTCAGCACAACTCACCAGGCCTTCCGAGGGATGGATCCGCATCCTGCTGCTCCTGATTTCATCCCATCCATGGATCCGCGTCCCGCTGCTCCTGTCCTGTCCATGGATCCACATCTCACAGCCTGATCCCATCCATGGATCCCCATCCCACAGTCTGATCCCATCCATGGATCCCCATCCCACAGCCTGATCCCATCCCATCCATGGATCTGCATCCCGCTGCTCCTGTCTCGTCTATGGATCTGCATCCTGCTGTTCCTGATTTCATTCCATCCATGGATCCCCATCCCACTGCTCCTGTCCTGTCCATGAATCCACATCTCACAGCCTGATCCCATCCCATCCCATCCATGGATCCCCATCCCACTGTTCCTGTCCTGTACATGGATCTCCATCCCACTCCCTTCCTGTGTGTCCCCTGTCACTGCCCTGTCCTGGAGCCCCTCCCCTGAGTGGACAGAGTGACCAGGGAGCCTTGGCAGTGCCAGGGAGCCCTTGCAGGTCCAAGCTGTCCTGGCTGCTGTCCTGGAGCCGCTGTCCCCATGTCCCCGTGCTCCTGCCCAATGGGCTGCTGGCCATCCTGGCACCGTGGGAGGAGCAGGAGGGGCACAGGGGGACAGAGCCTGGCCCTGGCACAGTGCCATGGGCGCCTCTGGGACGCAGCCCCAGCTCCCAGCCCGAGTTCCCAGGGCCTGGCTTTGGGATGGGTTCGGCTTTGGGGTGGGCTCGGCTTTGGGGCTGCCCTGCTTTGTCCTGACCCACATTSCATGGGGGCAGGCACCAATCCAGGCCTGACTCGGGGCCAGCACTAATTACTGGGAGAGGTTTGTGAGGACACGAGCTGGGAAGGGGCATTCCATGCGTTTCTGCAGCCTCCTGCTGCAGTGGGATTCAGGGCTGAGGCTTTAAAAAGGGTTTTAAAAAGGACTTTTAAAAGGGCTTTAAAAAGCAGCATCTGGAGGGGCAGTGGGGCCAGGGCCCTGCTTCACCTGCAGCTCACACCTCCTTCCCTGGTTTTCCAGAGTGGAATTTCCCAAGGGATGAAGTCCCCCAGCAMGGGCAGGGGGCACAGAGGATTCCTGGGGTGCTGTTCCAGGAAGAAATCTCCCTTCAGGCCACCACACACAGCTCTTGAGTGCACCCCCTGAAGCTCCCAGCAGCATTCTGGACCATCCCAATCATTTTCCAGCCTTCAGGAATCCCTTTGCTCCACGATTCCTCCAGGCTGCTGTGGCTGCTGAGCCTGCTCAGGCAATGTTTGCCACATTTCCCAGGAGAGCAAATTGCACAGAAAATGCTCCCTGAGGGCTCCTGTGCACAGCACTGGATCTGCAGAGGTGGAAAGGTGCTCTGTGGACATTCTTTGAAGGGATTTTCCAAGGGATCTTTGTGTTCCATGCTGGATCAGGTTCTGGAAGTGGGAATACAGCAGCTCTGCCTGTCCCAGCTCCATCCTGCCCCAAATCCTCATGGAAACACCTGAACAGCTCTGCTTGTGGGATCAGCACCATCAAACCTGGGCAGAGCCCGTCCTGGAGGTTTTTCCATCTGGGATTTTTCCATCTGGGCTGTGGGGAAGCAGAGCAGCTGCTGGGACACCATGGGGGCACCACTCTCCATCCCAACAGCCCTGCAGCTCACCCACGGTGGGGAGGCTCCGTGCCCTCCACATGACATTCCCAGGAAAAATTAAGTCCTTTGAAACCTTCTGATCCACCCAAGTACCGGAAAAATAAGGAAAACCTCGAAGTTGCTGCCTTCTAGGAGCTGTATTAAAATGTAAATTATAGTTAATGTCACCTCACAGGGCGGAAAAGCTCTCAACAGACCTATTTTAAGGCYGTGGTGAGATTTCTGAATGCACAAAAAACCCTTTTTATAGGCTGGAATTAGCAGCCAGGTTCTGGCTGTTGCTTTATTTAGCACCTAAAGGGGAAAAAAGGTGGTGTTTGGTCAAAATGACCACAAACAAAATGTGTGGAGCTTCCCAAATCCCCTCAAAATCTGAGCCTCTGCACCAGTCCAAGGCTGGAGGAGCTCCCAGATTTCCCTTCATGGACAAACCCTTCATTCTGGGGTAAAAGGGGGTCCCAGGGAGCAGAAATCCCTCCTGCATGAGGACAATCACAAGGTGCTCATGGCCATTTGGGATTTTTTTTTGTTTCATTGACCCTGCTGGGTTTAGAGCAAGCTTTCAAATACGTGAGAGATGTTTATATCTCATTTCTCAAACCTTTAATTTCACTGATCAAAGCGATTAATGGAGTATTTCTGTCCTGTCTGCACCCCGTTTCTCCTTTAAAGCCACAAAATCCCAAACAAAAATCCTTCTTTTTGCCTTGAAAACAGTTTGGTGCTGCTGGAGAGATGCTGTGATTAAAATGCAATTTCATGGCCTGGCTCTCCAGATGGATRGTGCTGAATCCCTGAGGAGATCCCAGAGTTTGGGAAGGGCTGGGACAGAGCTGCAGCCACGGCTTTGGATTCTCCTGGAACAGCTCTGGGCTGCCTCCCTGAGAGTTTGGAATATTTCCAGTGCTGGACACTCCACAGGCTTTTTTTTTTCTGGTTTTTGAGCATCTTTACAGAAAGAGAAAAAGGCTTTTATTGAGTCCTTCCCCAGCAAATGCCATTTCCTGGGGCTGGAGGGAGCAGATGGCGATTCTGCCAGAAACACTCGGGGAGCAGCGGCTCCGGCAGCGTGAGGCTCACAAATTCCTCATCCTGGGCCAAACAGACGGAGATTARAGCTTCAGAGAGGATCAGGAGATTGCTCCAGCAATCCCATCTTTGCTGACCCCGGGGCAYGTGCAGAGGGGTCTCACCGTGGGTGGGAAATGCCAAACCTGGCTCTGGCTTGGTTGGCACAGCTCTGACAGCATCCACAGAGCCAAAAATCCTTCCTGGGGGGAGGACAACCCTCAGAACCTCTCTGGGAGCAGGAGAGACCCCAAAAGGCTCCTCTGCACCCCCTCTGCACCTTTGGGATGCTGCCCTGAAGGGCTGAGCATCCCTGRGGGAGGAAATCCAGGGTTTGGCCRCTTTTGGGAAGGTYCTGGGATCTCCAGGACCYAAAGGGACTCCAGGAGAGCTGGAGAGGGAYTGGRGACAMGGGRTGGAGGGACAGGACACAGGGAATGGMTTCMMASTGCCAGAGGGCAGGGATGGATGGGATATTGGGAAGAAATTCCTGGCTGGGAGAGTGGGGAGGCCCAGAGGATCCCTGGAAATAYYCCAGGCCAGGTTGGACAGGGCTTGGAGCAGCCTGGGACAGTGGGAGATGTYCCTGCCCGTGGAASGGGTGGCACTGSGTGATGTTTAAGATCCTTCCAGCCCAAACCATCCCGAAATTCTGCGGTTCACCCCCGCAGAGCCGTTCCAGCGCACTCAGGAACTGGCACTGAATGAGCTCTCCCCTCCAATTCCAGTGTTTGGGGTCAAACCCTGCAAGTTTGGGTGCAGGTCCTGCTGCACCAAAGCTCTTCCTGCTGCAGAGGAGCAATATGGGAGCTCCCTCTGCTGCCCTGTCCACCCCACACACGGGGGGCTCTCCCTGCAGCCTCCYTCTGCCTGGAATCACCGGGATTGATAAAAGCAGCAAGGAATGGCTGCTCCTTGAAAATCTGGAGCAGTCTGGGAGAGGGTTTGATGGCATTGCACAGAGGCAGAAATGTCCAGAACCTCCCAGAGGATGGAGGACAAAAGGAAACAGCCTCACGATGCACCAGGGGACRTTTAGATTGGGCATTTGGAGGAATTTCTGCATGGAAAGGYGTGTCCAGCCCTGGCACAGCTGYTCAGGAGTCTCCATCCCTGGARGGATKGAAAACCCCAGTGGATGTGGCACTTGGGGACACGCTGAGGAGCAGTTGGTCTGGATGGTCTTAGAGGGCTTTTCCAGCCCCAATCCATCCGTGCCTCTAAATTGCAAGACTGGTAATTCTTCCCTTCCTGCTAAGTGATTAAATAGAGGTGATTAAATTTTAATTAACCAGCAGGTGATGGCGCTGATTGCCCTCCAAGCCTTGAGGGAAYCTCCTCTGCTTCCTTTGCCCTGCCCATCCTTGGGACAGGGATGGTGCAGGAGGAGCTGGGTGGGCATCCAGGGCATCCAGGGGCTGCAGTGCCAGCAATGTTCATCCCTGCTTGTTGCTTTTCCAATCCCTGCTTGTTGCTTTTCCCATCCCTGGTCATTGCAGCTTTTCCCATCCTGCTGCTGCTGCAAAGCTCCTCCTCACTGTGGTGGAGCTGCACAGCTCTGTCCAGGGCTGGTGGAGAACTTCACACAGCTTTTGAAAGCTCTTCCAGGAGGAGGAAATAGAAAATCTTCTGTGAGTGGTTGAGCACGTTCCTCTAGGAATGAAATCTCTCTTCCCGAGCTGCTCCATCAAATTGTGGCAGCAGAAATCCTGGATTCKGCAGGGTGGAGGAGCAGCCAGCATTCAGATAAATCCTTGTGACCTCCAGCCTGAGCCCTGCCCTTCCTCCTGTGCTTCAGGGAAGGTCAGCAGAGCCCTCAGGCCCAGGAAACCACCCACTCGTGCTCCTCTGATGGAATGTGATCCCTCGGGGAACCAGCCAGGGGTGCAGGAAATGCCTTAATGTGGAGCCTGGGCAGGCCCAGGCAGAGCTCAGATTGATTTATTCATTTATTTATCCTCTCTGTCTCCCTCAGAGCTCATCCCCAGGCAGTGGAAAAAGCGAGGGAATTGTGCAGTGTGGTCCATCTGAGCTGAGGAGCATCTCAGACAGATCCTTGGGGCTGAGGCTGAGGGATGGATGTGCTCATTCCTCTGGGAACATCTCCCAGGGTCCCTCCTCACCCAGGATCATGGGGTGCAGCAGCCCCAGAGCCAGCCCCACATCCCTGCTGCATTCCAGGGATGGATTGGGCAGCTCTGGATCTGTGGAAATCAGCATTTGCTTTGCACAGAGCTTACAAATCACCATTTGGAATTGGCTTCATTAAAAATGGGGCATGGAGCTGCCCTCCTACTTTAAATAATTCTGGTTTTTAATGATTTTAGTTGCCCTCCTACTTTGAATAATTCTGTCTGTTAATGATTTTAGCTGCCCTCCTACTTTGAATAATTCTGCCTGTTAATGATTTTGAGCTGATCCAAGGCTTGTGGGAACAGATTGGCCAGAGAGATTGTGGATTCCCCATCCCTGGAAGTGTCCAGGGCCAGGTTGGATGGGACCTGGAGCCACCATGGGATAGTGGGAGTTATCCCTACCCACGGTAGAGGCTGGAACAATATTAGGTTGGGTTGGAAGGGATTTTTAAACCTTTCTGGAATTCCATGTGTGAGTCTTGGCCCGTTGTGCCTTTTCACTGTTCATTTAGACCGTGCTGTCCTTGTCCCCTGGCAGGTGGTGCGGGATCAGATCTCCCACTGCACGGTGAAGCTGCGCCAGACCACGGGGCTGATGGAATATTGCCTGGAGGTCATCAAGGAGAACGACCCCAGTGGCTTCCTGCAGGTGGGGCTGGGRCTGGGGGCACTGCAGAGGGGTGGGGTGACCTCATAAAATCAAGGATCAGCCTCTGATCTTCTCTGTGCTCACAGCAGGGCAGGGGCAGGGCAGGGCAGGGATATTTCGGGGCATTTCTGGGAGAGAGGGTTGCAGGGATATTTCAGGGTATTTCTGGGAGAGAGGTTGCAGGGATATTTTGGGGTACTTCAGGGAGAGAGGGTTTCAGGGCTGTTTTGGGGTATTTCTGGGAGAGAGGGTTGCAGGGATATTTCTGGGAGAGAGGGTTGCAGGAATATTTTGGGGCATTTCTGAAAGAGAGGGTTGCAGGGATATTTTAAGGAGAGAGGGTCGCAGGGATATTTCTGGGAGAGAGGGTCACAGGGATATTTTAGGATATTTCTGGGAGAGAGGGYTGCAGGAATATTTCTGGGAGAGGGCTGTAGGGATTCTTTGGGGTATTTCTGGGAAAAAGGGTTGCAGGGATATTTCGGGGTATTTCTGAGAGAGAGGGTTGCAGGAATATTTCTGGGAGAGAGGGTTTCAGGGATACTTTGGGATATTTCTGGGAGAGAGGGTTGCAGGGATATTTCTGGGATATTTCTGGGACAGAGGTTTGCAGCTGGCAGTGGTGGTGTCCCCCTGGAGCAGGGATCAGAACATGCTGGTGGTTCTCCATCGAGAGATCAACACAGCCTTTGGGAGCTGCACCCCACCAACCATTCCTGGGTTTTCTTGGGTCCCAATCCCTGCCACTGAGCATCCCCAGGGTTCCCTCTCCAGCAGAGCCTGTTGCAAAAGGTGATGCTGGAAAAGCAGGTGTGACATCCCAGCCTTGGAGAGGCTTCCTTGGGTACCAATCCCAGTTTTTAAACAACCCTCAGCACCCCAGGGTTCCCTCTCCAGCTGAGCCCACAGCGAAAGGTGATGCTGGAAAAGCATGTGTGACATCCCAGCCTTGGAGAGGCTTCCTTGGGTACCAATCCCAGTTTTTAACCAGCCCCCAGTGCCCCAGGTTTCCCTGTCCAGCTGAGCCTGCAGGGAAAGCTGATGCTGGAAATCAGCTGTGACAGCCCCACCTTGGGGAGACAGAGTTTGGGGACAGCAGGGTGGGGACAAAGCCACGTCCCCCGGTGCCTGAGGCCACTCCTCCCACAGATTTCGGATGCCCTCATCAGGAGGGTGCACATGACCGAGGATCAGTGGGGCAAGGGCACCCTGACCCCCCGCATGACCACCGACTTCGACCTGAACCTGGACAATGCCCCRCTGCTGCAGTCCATCCACCAGCTTGACTTCGTCCAGATGAAAGGTAAGGATTGTTCCAGAGCCTCTCCTGGGGGTTTCTCTGCAGCTCATCCCAGGGAAAAGGGCAGGGAAGGAGTTTTTCATCTTCTCCCAGCGAGATTGGGCACCCCAGACCCCAACGAGCTTTGCCCGTTCTGTGTGTTGTGCATCCCTGTGTGCTGGACCAGGCTGCCAGGAACTTAGAAAAACACTCTTAGCTCATTAAAAAGTGATTAGTGAGTTAAAAAGTGCTCTGCAGGTTGGGTTCTCTCCTTAGGGAGCAGCTCAAGGCTCTTCCCAGAGCTCTCTTCACACCCCACGCTGAGCAGTGTCTGTCACACAGATGTCCCTCCAAACACAGAACCAGGTCACAGCCTGGGCTCTGCCCTCCCTCTCCTCACCTCACTGTTCATTTAGACCTTCATTTTAGCTTTAATTTCCTCCCCATTCCCTCTGTGCTCCCTCTCCTGTCCCACCCAGAGCAGTTTGGGATTTGGGAAGCCCAGGGAAGCTGACAAGATGCAGAGAGTGACCCAGGGACACTCAGGAGGACCCTGAACGTGGGCTGAGCTTTCAGCTTGGAGGAAAAGCTGCCAGCTGCAGGTCTGGCACTGCCCTTCGTTCCCATCCCGGCTGGAATTCCTGGCCCAGGAGCTTTTGGCACACATGGGGGTGTCTCAGTGGCCAGGACAGGAGGATGCTGGCCACACCTTCCTCTGTCACCACAAGGAGCATCCTCAGCTGGTGGCAGTGAGAAATGGCAGCAATATTTTGGATAGCAAACCCAGGGAGGGCTGGCTTGCTGTTTTACCCTCCCTCCAATTTAGCCCAGAGGATTTTTTTTAATTAATAAGAGCAAATCTGCTGCTGGTTCAGCCGCCCACCCT